AGTGTACTGTTTTTTGAGAATATTTTGTTTTGTTTTTAGTGCATTTTGTTTTGTTTTTATTGTATTTTGTTTGGAAGTCGGTTTTGTTTTTGTTACATGCGATTCATCCCTCCACATAACATGCATTTGATACCTTTACAGTTTGCAAACGAGCAATAGTCCCTGTGGTCACTTTTACCGTACCTATTACCAAATTTAATCAAAATTCGTTTAGCCGTTTAGGTTAGCTTAAAGTAGTTGCAAACTCTCAGCAGAAGTCTGAAGAATAGACAACTATTCTAAATCTAATTTTGGTATAGATGTAGAGGGTAGTCTGGAAGAAAATATAGGCTACTCACTTTTTTTTTAATTTCACGCTGACGGAGTCGCGGGCAACAGCTAGTATACTATATACTACAGATGCCGCATTGTTATCAGAATATAAATCTATTTAAAAATTAAAAATAGATAGAAGTACATAGTTGAATCCGATTAAGTTGCCAACAACATAACATAGTTCGAGATTTAGTTATATCATGTTAAGACCTTGACATTCATACCTTGACCGATTGACAGCTCTCTTTAAGTTTATTCTGCACATATCTCAAAATGATAAACAGTTTTAGCTGCATGCAACGAACTACCGTATTTTTCTGAATATCTACAAATGTTTACAAACGACTGAAATCGTTTGGATTTATGCATTTATGTAAATTACAGCTATTTAAGGTAGGGTTTAAAAATGATTCCCAAAATAGTCTAGTTGGACCCTGTAGGAGTGACGAAATACCTGGAGTACTTTACGTTTGCGTTATATAAAATTCAGGTGCTTACGTTCAAGAAGAAATGTACCAGAACTTTGATTAAATATTAAAAATTTGAATGAGGTATAGTAAAATAGTTTGTAAATCTCAGGTTTAATAAAAAATATGACTTACATGCGTGCTCCAAACATCAGAAGAGCGGAACGCCAATGGCGACAGACGGAGGACGCCACCAACGCATCCTTGGTGCATAGATATTTCAATACGCATCCCAAAGGCAAGAGCGGGAGACTGCCCCAATCCACCAACATCTAAAAAAAACTCAAATCAGACAGAGATAATCGAGCCAAATTCTACCTGCTTTGGGTTACAGGCGTACATTTTTTATATGATTTAAAAATTAAAAACAACATACGATAGTTAAGTGATGTGAAATGTGAATAAAGAAAAATGGTGATACCATTCATATAGGGGATTCCCCTAGAAAAAGACTAAAATCTTTTTTTTTAATACTGTCACATTTCTTCACACGAATTTTGCAATGGTTATCCTAATGTCATTTAATTTCAGAAGTTATTTGGCATATTTCGAAAAAATGCAATGTGTATTAGTAAATCTTATAATTAAAAAACGATTTCAAATTATTTTTTTATGCTAAAACCATAACATTGTGCTCAGTTCGAGTATCTGTTTAAAATAAATTTTAATTTACTTTTCACAATTTATATGCAAAAAGACCCTTGAAATTAAGCACCAGTTATATCTCACACTTCTTTGTTATGATCTCACTCCAAAACACTACTTCTGCTTTAGCGAAAAGAGACTAAATTGATTCTGTCTGAAATAACTATTACAGAGCGTTTGTATTATACAATAACTGTATATCAAATAAACACCTTTGTTTTGTTCATATTCTTCTGCGCATAAAACACTCATTTCTTTTTATTACCAAATCACTTTATAAGCGAAAACAAATTATCGATTTTAACCATAGACAATGAAACAAGAAGCTTAGGAAAGCAGACCGAGGCTATTTCTTTTTTATTGTTTCTTATTTACTACTTCTTTTACTTATTATAGCTATTTAAACGCATTCCTGTTTAATAAACTTAACGATTTGTTACGCGTCTCATAGCATCAATGATTAGAATATTTTTGTGGACTTTTTTATCTATGCCCCAGCGAGTATCTGTCACATCTGACAGGTCGATGTATAGGTTAAGTAGCGATGTTTTATTTTTATTTTTTATCAATCAAAACGTTATTTTTATAAGAAATTAATCCTCTTAAAGTATCCCACTGCTGGACATAGACCTCCCCTTTAATCGATTCTCCACCACCCTTAACTCTAGACTTGGGTTAGATTTAAACTGTTAGTTGCATTAGTATAGCCTGTATTAAGTCGTGAGCACTAGCAGCAAATACTACTTTAAATACAGAATACAATGACACCAACAAAATAAAGTCTATCCATTCTCTTTTAGTGTATTCAGTTTCTTTAATAACATTATTTTGACTCATTCTTACTAAAATAAATGCAAAATCTTGAATGAATGTTTGTTAGAAGGTATCTCCGGAATGGCTCAATGAATCTGATGAAATTTGAGACAGATGTAAAAATAGTCTGAAGAGTCTGAAGAAGAGCTTAGTCTACTTAAAAAGGTGTTTTCTTCCGCGCAAAGCCTAGGGCACAATCTAATAATGTATAAAAAAATCTATTTTGATAGTCGGTTTTTGTTATATAACTTTCTTCTATAGACCTTTTAAATTCGAAATCAATAAAATTTGAATTTAAGTGTCTCTATTTAAGTAAATTAGCATTAAATGAATAAACAAGTGCAGTAGAGTACTGGATATAAATGTGCAAGTGAATAAAAATACACAATTACAAAGAAGTACTTATATTTATGGAAATTATATTTATGCAACTGAATATCTTATACATTTTCAAGCTTATATCTCAATATTAAATATAGCATAGAAATAGAAATTGTATTGAATACAAGACCATTACAAATAAAAAAGATTAAACCTATATAAATCAGCTCCATTGGAATTTCATACAACAAACAAATCTAACCAATAGAAAAACATAACAATAATGGAACAGAAATATGATGAATCAATGTTTTTGATCGCCAAAACTTTTGCTTCTAGAAGTTTCTACAGTTCGAAATAAAGAATATCAATACAGCAAGAGTAATTTCACTTAAACTATTAATGAAATATGATGAATATAATGACTTATTAATTAAAATTACGATATGGAATATGATATAATTGCAGAATATATGTTTTTTAATGATTACAGAGTTTCAGCTGTTTATTTTTCATGGTGCAATAAAATCTTAATGTTTATCTTAAAAGTAACAATTAATTTAATTAAAGCTGAATACTGAAATAACTACAACTTTATAAAGGCTGCTTACAATCTGGATAACACTTTAAATGGAATTTGGTATTTGATTGTGGTCTTGTCAATAAAATCCTTTGGAATATTGAAATGTTTCAGTATTCAGCCATTTAAACTTATACATACCAAATAAAGAAGTTATCAAAATCACTATGTTTGCCTACAACCTAAAACCTACAATGTTGGAATATGAATATAAAAGATTATATGGACTTACATTTATAAAGTGAAAAGCTGATTACTACATAGTTAAATATGGAAAATTATATAAATCAGAACAATTAAGTTTGTTCAAATATATTTTGGATGTGGGAGTACAATTTACTTAAGATAGCTACGGTACAGCAGAAGTGAACGTGCTGTGTCCTTTTCTTGTTCCAAAAGGAAAAGCATGTCGCGAAGGTTAATACGCTTAATACGAGTACGCAGCGCCATCTGACCGCGGCCGCTCATGCCACTCGAACTTTGACCACTATTGGTAGAAGCATTATCTCCCGAACCCCCGGCACCTTCATTAAGTCGCGGCTTTTTACGCGGGCCGATAGCCTGCAGAGCTGTCAGATTGGCTTCTCGCTGACGTACCTCTTCCAACTCAGCCCGCTGCATTTCTTTGGCCTTTGCTTTAAGTTTCGCCTGCTCAGGATCCTCAGTCTTTGATCGGGACTTTGCAGCCCGAAGTAACAACTCACGCTCTGTATCCTCGCATCTCTTCTTTACGACACGATCTCTTTCCTCAAGGAATTTTATCTGACTTTTCACATCTTGGGAAATCTCGTAACGATTGTCCATCTTTACATTGAGATCGATTCTATGCTGCGCAATAACTGCTAGCTTTTCCACAATAGTCTTAAGCCTCTCATGAAGTGCATGACACAAGAGAGCCGATACTTCAGGAGCTGGTTCGTCTAATCCATGCCTCGCACAAATTGTCTTCACTCTAGCTTGCATCAAATGCATCGGTACCAAGAAATCGTCTTTACATGACCTTATCTGTGTTCCAATCATTTCAGTTGATCCAAGGATTCTTTGGCTTTCCTCGGCTAAATTCACTCCACCCATGGCGGCTACATCATTTATGTCATCATCCCCAGCCATCTTGTCATCAAATTGTGGGGGATTAAAGGGCATGGAGGATCTTTTTTCTTTTTCCTTCAAAAGGGATTGTCCAGGTGTAATAACAGTGGATAGTGCAGCAGATGACAACCCAGGGCGTGGGAAATTGGCTTTGTTACCTACACCCACTGTTTTCCCAACTTTGCCCACATTTATTTTAGTATGCACAGGTATGTTCTGCAGCACTGCAATTGTTCCACCTACTTTTGGAGCAGGTTTTTGCATTTGAACATTTGAAGTACTTACAACTTGTTGTGTTGGGGCTGGAATATTAGAGAACGCGACATGAGGTGCAGGTGGGTTAATACCTTCAATGACCAATTCTTTGGTAACCAATGACTGTCTAAGCAGCGGTAAGCTTTTCTTTAAGAATCCAATCAAGCAAGGTTGAGGACTTGCATTTAGCAAACGTTCAAGTCTATTACAGAACTCTTCAGGCTCCACTTGAGCATCTATTAGTTCTTGGATGAGATTCCTCACATTTGTTTCAACAGATTTAGGTTCCTTGCTAGACAGGTCTAGTAAATTTGCAAGGAAGTTACGGCACTTTTCCTTTGTATTATCTGATGGCTTTTGAGTGGTGACAGTTGGTGGCTGTGGTGGCGGAGTTGCAGATTGCATAGTTGCAGACACAGCCGCTTGTGATGGCCCTTGCTGTATTTGTGTAGGCATTTGGGCTGGTGCTGCAATACTAGTGGATACCGTAGCCACACCGGGGTGTGCAGGCACTGTGGACAGCCGCAAAGTCTGCGGTTGTGGTGCAGCCAGGGTATTGGCTGCGGGCGCAGGGCCAACTCTCAACAGCTGGTATTGACCAGTGTCAGTCTTCAGCAACAAATGGCCCTGTTGCCCTTGTTGTAGACTTTGCAGTGCTTGCAATGTAATACCAGGAGCTACAGCTCTGGCTCCGACTACTTGTTGTGTACCAATCACAACCCTCGGTGATACTGTAGCTACAGACTTCTGTGCTGCAACTGAAGGTGCTTCAGGTCTCATGTTTAATATTTGTACATTAGGTAAAATGGTGGGTTGAGCTGATCCCAAGTTTTGTGTGGTGACCACAACATTTTGTCCTTGTTTGTTCATTGTTAGAGCATTAGGGATGGTATTGGACATGCTTGAACTGACAGTAATTGGTACTGTGACCATTCCAGGTTGCATGCCAGATTGTCCACTAGTTGTCCCCTGCTTAATTACTAAAGAGGGGTTCATGATAATTGTTTACACTTGAGATTAAATAAATGCTTCTATTATAACAGTTCTCTTCGACTTTGTAATCTGAGTCAAGATTTGTTCTAGATAGAACGAAATGGCACTTGTACTTTACAAATTAAACATTATGGGATTGCTTGGTCTTTAAAAAGCAATATGGGTTTTCATTTCATATTTAATCATTCTGTCACCATCCATCTTGTCTTTTTCAACTCCATTTTTATTTATTGAACTGGAATCAATGTGAATATGGCTATGAATATACTATTTCTTTAATATTATTTTCATATAAAGAATCTGGAGATATTATATTATAACCAACAATATATTATACATTTAAAAATAACTTATGATAAAGAGATCACTTTACAATTCACATTATGGTAATTAATATTATAAGTGTAGTGGTTATAAACTTGCTGAATTTACAATATTTCTTAAGTTTGATCGAGAAATATAATGGACAAGTCTACAATTTTTTTAATATCTGTTGTGAGATATGTTCATATAATCAACATAGGTTTGTAAAGTTTCAGCTTGACAAAATGTTGCTGACATGGATAAAAAAATAATCAGCATATAAATGTCGCGTCAAAATAAAAAAAGAAATATTGTGTTAATAAAAATTTTTTCGAGACAATAAGCATTTTACCTACTTGTTTGCCCTTGTATGTACTAAAGTCCTAGTCTTTTATGCAAAAGGCGTGACGACGTAACAGCTGTTTGTAAGTGGGATAAATCAAGATACATCGAACTGCGTCATTTATTGAATACCACAAATAATGGCGTTGTTATGGTATCGAATAATTAAATTACTTCACTATTCTATTCGTATTAACTTAACAAAAATATGTTTCCGAAAACCAGATGAAAATTGCAGTCGTAGTAAACATTAAGCATAATCACAAAGAAAGGTCATCAAAATGGTTTATGTGTACTCACCGCTTCAATGTTGCTCGTCAAATTTATTAAATTTTGTTTAATATTTTTCTTCTTAATAAATGCGAACACAGATTGTTTTAATATAGAGAATGTCCCAAGTTATTTTACACGTCCAGCCCCACTCACATTATCGCACAAATTGACGAATTCCAAAACAAAATGGGATATATGAAGGAAATAATCTTAAATCGATGACGGAACGGAACGGAGCGGAGCGGATGCGATTTCAATAGGAAGTACAGATTAAAATGAATGGTAAAGATTTTTCTAAAATAGCATTTTCTATTTTAATAAGTTATAAACTGTTTGAAACCGATAGAAATAGGCTACTTTTTCACCAAAATACTCATAAGCCACAGTGGTTTTATAAAATTGCCAACAAGTCAATTAAAACGCAGCACTGACCACACTGACCATATTCGTTCAAAGGGATGGAAAGATGCAATAGATACCAAAAGTTCTAATAAGAAGTACATTATCAAATACAATTTGTTATAAATAATGTCTTTGTTTTTGTTTGATATCTGATGCGCCGTAATGCAAAAGAAAAAACGGTAAATATGTTGACACTAATTGTAAATTTTATGATACCATGGTTTTAATTTTATCTCATTGTAAGGCTTTAATTTTTTCATGCAAAGTCGTAAAGGGTACAAGCCCTACATTGTAAACCGATATCCATACTACCCCATCCCTATTTGTAATGGCGGCCAAAAATCAATTTTGAAATGTGACAGCGGGTAGATTGCATTGTTTGTCTCCAAAAGTCTCAATAAATTAATAATTTTTTATGAATTGTTATTAAATTTTATAATGGTAAAAGTTTAAAAACTAACAAAAGAATATACGGTTCTATTTTAATTATGTCATCTGCGTTACAACTATTATGGTCGATGATGTAAGATTCACTAAGTAAAATACTTAGTCTTGAGGAACGAGAGAACGTTTTTGCCGCGGATCGCGTTAAGATTCACTACGCCATGGAAACTGAAGAAGGAACTGGTAATCATGATAAGGAAGACCAGGAGAGTAGCTCTCATACTACTCCGCAAGAACACCGGTCTTTTGCTGAATTTGCGAAAGATAAATTAGATAGCGGTTAGTATTATTTTTCCTTTTTTTCCCTTGTATCTTTTAAATGGAAGTAAGGTAAAACTATTTAACAGTCTAAAATTTTTAAAACAGTTTATGACTTTTATGTAAACTATTCCAATAAGTTTTTGTAAATAATTATTCAATTTAGCAGTTTCTTATTAGGACTAAACCATCTACACTTCAATAAAATTCATTAATTTATTCTATTTAAGGTATCCTTCATAAAGTTTTTGTTTTATTGTCTAATAAAAAAAACTCAATATAGCCGGAAGAGAGCTGCGTCGACGTCTTCCAATGGCTGGACAACTTGGTGCACACCTGATGCATCCACGTCGCCTGCTGCTCCACTCAACACCTACCAACCACACGGATGTTGTGCTTATATTCCCTAAAGGTAAGAAAATGTAATGTATTTTAAAACTAAAATTAAATTCATGGTTGTTAAATTAACATACGAGGACACAGAAGGTATTCTCAAAAAAGTGTCTTAAGTTTTCTATCGTTGCAAGTATTTTATTCTTCTGTATAAATTTCAAAACCATACTTTTAAAACAAATATAAATTTATGTTCAATTTTTAACTGATTTGCTGCTGTCTAATGATCATATGTTTAAGCTTTAGATCAGGACCCTCACGATACAGGCTATGCCTAGTGTGAGGGTACTGTTCATAACATATGAAAAATTCTACTGTAACATAGACAATATTTTTCTACCTCCATGTATACATGATTGTTGAATTTTAAATAAATCGTTTTTTCATTTTTATTATCAATTTATTTGTTTTTTAAAGACAATAAGAGGAACCATCATGGGCATAACTTGCTGATAATCAAGGGGGAGGTCTGTAGTAGAATACTTTTGGTATTCCAAAGAGATTGCTTATTTGCTTATTATTTTTTTAATGAAAAAATGATAAATCATATTTGAGTTATCTATTGGAGCTAGGGATAGCTAAGCAACATATTATTTTGAATTAATTTATGTATTTCTTTTAAAATTTTCAACTGACTAGAACAGCTTTCTAGCTGTCCTCGGCAATCTACATCTTACTTTCCTGTTGGATGCAATAGTTTATCTAAGTTTAAACAAAATTTTCTTATCTGTATTAGCAAAGTGCATGTATACTTTATAATTGGCATTGAATGAAGCTGACCTCTGATTTGATATTGCGACATGGAATGTCATGTTTTGATTAGGCAAGGCAATGATATAATGTAAGCCTATATTACTAAGCAATATGTTTGTACTGCCATTCCCACCCTGCTTGACCTGTGTGGCGAAGAATTTGTACATTTCCTATAATATCTACACCCTTACCGTTGGTGTTAAAATAGCCTATGTAATTCAGTGATGATGTAACTTTTGAAGGGATTTTGTACAAACAATAATGATCAATTTTATACAAAAACAAAGATTTCAACAACTCCATAACTATTGGGCTGATTTCAAAAAATCTTTAATCATTAAAAAGCTATTTTATCAGTGAGTAACATAGGCTATGTTTTTATTATTATTTAAATTCCCGCGGGCGAAGACGCGAGCAACAACTAGTCTTTATTAAAAAGTTCAAATTTTACAAAATATTTTCTACTCAAATAGTAATAGTAATTCTAGTTTATCATTCTTTTGAAAAAAAAGTGTTTCAAAGATTTACAAGAAAATATGGTTTCCCTAAATAGTTCGATTGACGTTATTTAAAGCAGAGTATAACAAACGATATTAACTAGATTCAATAAATAACAAGAATACGGTGTCTGACAGTACACGGTACACGATTTAACCTTGCTTAGTCAGTATCGATATATCATAACTATTTAGTAGTAGGAAGAATGGTAAACTAAATATACTTGTTATGAAAACCTAGAGTCTGTTTATCCGTGAATTTTTAAAATAGACAAAACTGGTTATAGCAAAAAATGAATTTTAAAAATGCGGTAACACAAAAATGTACAGACAAATTGTGTTTTCCTTTTGGAAGTCGGTCAACAAAAAAGACCGAAAATTGTTCAGTTTTTTTGCCTTCAGCCGCGTTTTATGCTTCGGCTTGCCGTAATCAATTTGAAACGATAATCGATGTTAAATGTAAAAATATTAATTGTAGAAATAAATCGTTATTTTGCTCCTAAAAAATATAGACACAAGTTAATTATACTCCCTCTATGTATATCAGAAACATTTCATCTACCCTTATGTTTTCTCCTCTACTAGCTATTTGGCAATCGTCTGTGGGAAGGTCATTGAACCCTACAGGGAGGCTACTCCGGCATTCGGGAAACTTGCCAGCAAACGTATTACGAAAACTTAACTATGACTGTTTTGTGAGAAACACAATGGTTTTCATGTTTATTTAATTTTTCTCTATAGATAGTTATTGAAATATTGTGTTTGAATTTTAACGTATTATAAAAAAAAAATTATATTAATTGCAGTTTATTTGCCCTTTTCATTAAAAAAACACAAAAGTATTAAGTGCTTGTATCACAAAGTTTATTTTATCGAGGGCAAATTATTTGATGACGTCGTCCGTTGTCCAAACGACGCAATCAATCTCTTTTTACAACGTAATTGGAGTTATTTATAGCATTAACTTTCATATAAATTGTTAGTAATTTTTGTGTTCTTTATTCATGCAATGATCAAATTAGGAATTTTCACTTATTTCTATTTACATATCTTATCGCCCTGAACTCGGTCCAATATGTTTACGCATTAAATTTAAATAACAGTACATGATACCAGACAATTTTATTAAATCCATCCATAAAATTTAGATATACACCTAATCTGAAGAAATTAAAAAATAGATTCCGTAATATCTAAGGAATATGAAACCATACAAACAATCAAATCTATAATTAACTAACTTTCGCTCGCGAGACCGTCTGCCTCAAATTAAAAAACAAAAGACAAAAGTAAGTAGCCTATGTCTTATTCCAGACTATCCTCTACATCGATGCCAAATTTCATCAAGATCCGTTCAGCAGTTTAGGCTACAAACTTACAACCATCCATCCAAATTATATTTATACTAGCTTTAGCCCACGAATCCGTCCACGTGAAATTAAATAAAAACAAAAGTAAGTAGCCTATGTGTTCTTCCAGACTGTCGTTTACAATTATGCCAAATTTAATCGAGATTCGGTCAACCATTTAGGCTACAAACTCTAACAAACATCCCAGCAGTTTACGCTACAAACTTACATCCATCCATCCAAATTTTTTATTTAGTAAGATTGTCCCGTGTAGTAGGTTGTCATAACCAGTAGGAGATATGTCCCGTTTATCGGCAGGTCTTCCGGACAGCATGCTCCTCTGGCTGCTGCAGAAGCTGCGCGGCAGCCGGCCTCGTCTCCAGGTGTGCGTGAGACAGCACGCATCGGCGCAGTGCTCCGCCTTCTACATCGCTGCTGATGATGACGTGTGAGTGATCTGAACGAGAATGATAACAGGGTTAGAAGACCTTAAGACTGGGGCGAATGAGTTCAGTTTTTCCCAAAACGAAATGATTGGCTGAAATTGGAAATTGGCCCTTGAAAGCCTGATTTTTTAAATCAAATTAAAAAAAATCTAAGCGATGTTTTTATACATTGTCCTTCCAACTTGTTGAAAAATCCATACCTCCAAAGTAAGCAATATTTTTGTTATATGCTCCTGTTTGTTTTGTAACTTGAAGATTATCTGTCAAAGGTAACATGTAAACAGCCTAATCTATACTTCTATACTTATTGTAATAAAGCGTAAAAATACACTTCTTTGTTGCTTAAGATGTCAGCATTCACAGCATATTTTCGAATAACTCTTTTTTTTTAAAATCCCTACACTTATGTTACGGTTTAGGCTATATATTTTTACGCCGTCAAACTTAGGGGTAAATATTTTGGATAAAAACCCTAATGTAGGAAAGAGACCATAAGTTGTTGCCAACATTAAGGAAGCAAGGTTGCCATGGTTTGACATTTCCAATTGATAATTTGACAAATGTGAACAATTAAATTTTTATAATTTTACGCGGATGAAGTCGCATGGGAACAGCTAGTATTAAAATAAAATCGATTGTAGGTGCCCATTGCGATTTATCGATTTGAAACTTCAGTTATTTAAGGGTTAAAGAATGAGTTGTAATTCGATTAGTCTTCTCCGAATGGAACTTAGATTGAAAATATTTTTAAAATAATTATATTAGTACCCTTACTAATTTACCCTAATAATTAAGCTATATGTTACTTGAGTGCGAAGGATCCAGCTGAAAATCAGCGCAGGAACGGCTTAATCCGTCCTGCATACGCTGAGCTGGCTACCTTTTGCCAAGATTGTGTTTTCTTTAGAATAAGTCCTTTTATGTAATTTCTATTCTGTGGCAATAAATACATATTCATTTATTCATTCATTCATATTGTGCTTTGTGACAGCTTGCTACAAACTGCCGAGGAGGTGCATCTTCCAAAGTTATTGAAGCCTGAATTCGGTGGTGGATATAAAGAGTTCACAGTTCGAGATATGCATTGTTTTCAAAATGTAAGTATATTGTCTATAAAATTATATTTATATTGGAACCACTCCTTGCTCTATATCTATACTTCTATATTAATATTATAAAGAGGAAAGATTTGTATTTTTGTATGGATTTAAATAATTAAAAAACTACTGCGCCGATTTTAAAAAATCTTTCACCATTAAAACGCTATGTTATCAGTGAGTAACATAGATGTATTTTTTTAAGTTCACGCGAGTGAAGTCGCGAGTAACAGCTTGTGTGTTATATTTTGTACTGCATTAAATTCTGAATGTTATCTTTTTTACAGTATTCTAGAATTCAGAAAGATGAAACTAGCCTTTTGTATGAAAAGCATTTATTAATATGTATATCAAATAACAATAGCTGGCTCTTGTTTTGCGAGTTTCTCGTTAGATGTTTCCTTTGTTGGTTGTTTTCAATTTAACTATGAATAGATATCCAGTTACCAAGAACATGACTGATCAAAAATACGAAGATATATGAGGATTTTGTTAATATTCAAGCATAACTGTTGAAATTCGTAGGCTTAATGTCTACAATTATACTAAACTGCATGTTTTTCACTGAAAATACTAAATTCCAAAATATATCGTGTCTATTACATAAGTACATGACATTGTCTACTATTACTTTACTAATAAATTTCGTTTTATAATACAATGTTCACAATACATTTGCAAAAATCAATAATTTAGGCCGTACATGTATGGAATATATTTACATATGTAAAAAAGTAGCCTATAATATGCCCGTCTATGTCAGCTATCCTCCAGTGAAAATCCGCTCGAAATCGGCCCAGCCGTTTCGGAGATTACCCGGAACAAACGCGGCTTGCAGACAGACAGACAAAACATTTTTAAATGCGATTTTCGTTATCAGCAACGCAAATACATCATCTTCCCGTAATCTGGAATTTTTCTTTTGATATTACAGACACTCCAATTTTATTATATGTATAGATGCAAGTTTTTTAATTAGAATAAAATTTGTTTTTTATAAAGGGTACAACAGCATCAGAGTTATTGAATTCTCAAGAGCGAGGTGCGTTAGTGAAACATGTGCTGGAGTCGGCGAGAGCGGAGCCCGGAGATGAACACGCCTTGGAGCCCGCGCTCACTCTGAGACCCGGACAGAGTATAGGTGAGTGAATGATTGAGTGAATGAACTAATGAATGACAAATATTACACCATTTTACAATATAATCAATAGCCCATCTACAGACTTTTTATAGTCATCGTTGATTAAAACAAGTTTAATAGGAGGGTAATTACGAACTTTTAAAATGGACGAGATCCCCTGTAACATTAAGAAAACTCAAATTTCTAAGAATAATACTTAAAAAAAAGTTACTTTCCTTAAATATTAGCTATAATATCGTTCTAAATTGTCTCATGCAATGGTCCTAACGAACACGGATTTTTCAATACAATATGTGTGAATTTTTATATCTAAAACAAATTTCAAATATGAAGAAAAAACATTTGATTATTTGTTTGCATTAAATAGACTCTGAATTTACTGAATCAAATCCATTTTTTTCTATAAGAAAGCTACATTAAAAATGAATAACATAGGCTACATTTTTTTATTGCGCGCGGGAGATGTCGCGAGCAAAAGCTAGTACTTTGTGAATCGATAAGCTCAAAGTGAATGATTGAACGATTGAATGTATTTACTGGAGCGTACGATGAAATATTGTTGCTTCAACCATTAATATGTCAAACTGGCCATCTATCTTCTTGTTGTGACTAAATTGTGTGCGGAAAAAAATGTTTTCTGCTGTTCTTATTGAAATCTTGGATATGTTTTCTTGTAAATCATTTTGTTGGAAACTTTTTGTACGTTTGTAAAGAATTTAACTAAAAAACTACAATATCGATTTTAATATTTCTTTTACTATTAGCTTTTGCTCGCGATTTCGTCTGCGTGGAATATAAAAACGAAATTAATTAGCTTATGTGTTCTTCGAGATTTTCCCTACATCTATGCCAAATTTCATCAAGATAGATTCAGCAGTTTATGCTACAAACTCTAAGAAACATCCATCCATCTATACTTTCACATTAATAATATTAGTAAGACTAATAAAATTCAAATGCTAGATTTTTAATACATAGTTATCCCATGTGTACTCCAGACTTTGTTTTATATCTGTGCCAAATTTCAATAAGATATGTTGAACCATTGCAGAATGATCAAGTAAACATTAAAAAACCAAAATAATGAATCCCACGGGAACCGTAACTATTCCCGGGATAAAAAGTAGCCTATGTGTTCTTCCAGACTATGCTCTACATCTGTGCCGAATTTCATGGATATCCGTTCAGCTGTTTAGGCTACAAACTCTAACAAACATCCATCCATCTAAACTTTCGCATTTATAATATTAGTAAGAAGTAAGAAGTTTTTATGCAGTTAGTTTAGTAGTAAATATGTAATTTCCAGTGCCAGCGTGTGTGAGCCGGGGAGTGATAGCGAGCATGTTCCCCTTGCACGACAGAGCGGCTCTCGACAGCCTGCGAAAGAAATGGGTTAAAACGCTTTTTACGCCGCAGCCGCTGGGTAAGCTATTGACACTATTTAACTCTACACTTTGCGAAAAAAAAAGTTTCTCTAAGCTGACAAAACTTGTGTACATAAGTGTTTTTTTAAGTACTAAAAAACAGCATCTTTTATTTATATTTGATGGTAACGTGATTACAATGAAAATCCAAATAAAACAAAATTACAGCGCTTTTAAAATACTTTTATTGGTCAGATTTAATTATATCCTAGAATAGGCTAAGAGCTCCCTAAGGGAGTCAATAATTCATTACTAAATGTCTTTTTTTATTATCTTTATTAAACACATATGTAACAATACGACACAAACAGATAAACATGATTAAACAAAATAATAGTAATAAATAGAATTAATTATAAATTCTTAACGCAAGACCGAGACAGCAGAGTGCCGTAGCTATTGGATACTTGGGTATATCTGCTTCCTAGCCAAAGAGCTCATAAAGCTCTATTAGAACTAAAATTAGATTATATTAAAATTAAAAGTAGATAATACTGACGCAAATGATAAAGAGAAACTTAAATAAAATACTTGTTTTTTTATTACTAAATGTCTTACAAGTGGTTTTAATATTTTGTTATATTTTCAGATGAAATAAGTGAATATTTCGGTGTGAAAATAGCAATGTATTTCGCATGGCTCGGTCATTACACGCAATCTCTCACGGTGCCCGCAGTTGTTGGTTTTATATTTTGGGTAAATATAATTATTATCCTACTTTTAAAATTTTTTTGGTCCTTCGAGTTGGATATTTGTTCTTAAGATCCGATATATTTTTACAGATTTGGTTGGGAACAGCAAATGATAATTGGAAGGATATTGCTCATGTGTTATTTTCTCTATTCAATGTGCTATGGGCATGTGTTTATTTGGAGACTTGGAAAAGGTTGGTTACAACTGTAATTTGGTTGTAATTTTTGGTTTCTTTTATGGAAAGAAGCTTTATAATTTTCTGTTTGTATTACAGGTATTCTAACGTGTTAGCGTACAGATGGGGTACGTTGGATCAAAGAGACGAATTATTAGTTGAACCGAGACCGTTATTTCAGGTGTGTTATTTTTTACTCTCACAGATCGAAAGAATGCAGATGTATGTGACGTCGAAAGCTAAAGGAAATGATTATTGTTTTATGTGTTGGTACTATCTCGCTCGAATTGTGTTTTTAACGGTGGAGGGGACGCAACAAAAGAGGAGATATGAGGCAATTGCGTCTAGGAGCAGCGATAGTTTCGCTATTTGGAATTCAGGGGGCTTGTCCGTAAGCTTATTCATATAAAAATATGCACAAGGTCGCTAGTGCTAGAGTGTACAAGGCCTATGTGGTGTTGTATTGTAAGTTGTATGCTGAGTGTCAGTGTCGCAGGGCGAGATGGGCGTGAGTGCGGTGACGGGGCGGCCCGAGCCGCAGTACGCGGCGTG